AAAGTGGCCCGCCGCTTTTTTTCCGGCTTGGGGAAAAGCCGGAAAAAAGCATCCAGACTGGCGCGATCCTCCTGAATAAAGCCCTATTCCGGAGGATCTCTTATTCCTACTTTGAATAGGGCTTTATTCCGGAGGATCGGGCCAGTCTAGACGCTTTTTTCCAGCTTTTCCCCAAGCTGGAAAAAAGCGGCGGACATCTTTATTTAAATCCCGCGGGGGGTATTTAAATCCCCCGCGGATTTCCCTATTCTGAAGTTGAAAATTAGCATGCCCCTTTCGGAAAAGGGGCCAGTGTAGACGTAGCAGGTGAGGGCTCCCATCATCTTGCAGGACCAGACCCTAAGAATATGTTTATGTTTAGGTCTGGAATGTTCATAAGGTTTTGTATTATCTTTTGACAAATCTATATACTCTAAATGCTTATGTAACATTTTCTCTAAAATAAAACATTAACATCATATAGGAGTGAACTCAGATGCCTTTTGTTTTGATTTTAGAGCTTCTATCTGGGTTCTTATATGCCCCTCCTACCACTGTAATACTGTCTCCTTTTTCTATTCAGTCCTCTGTATATTAATTAATGTTTTCCTTGAAACATCTCTGACTTCAAAAGCATTGGACAATTCAGTTTGTAACTGTTTTTTTTTTTTTTGCATGTAGTCTCGAAGGCCATCTAGTGACACAACTGTGCAAGAAGAAATGTCAGACCCTATGTGAACTCGAATTTAAAAAAACTAGGTAAAATTAGGGAATAATAAACTCAACAGTTCCATTGGTGGATTTTTAACCTTTACAGAGATAATATTTCAGAAAGTTTTAGGGGTGAGCCAGATTGCCTAATGAATTTAGATTTGCATACCAAATGGGAGAAAAGTTGAGATACTCTTCATGGAAGAGGAAGGAAATGGTCTATCTTTGCGAGGCATAGGACTTAGTCCCTTTAGAGAATGGGGGCCAATTTTGATCTAGTTATCAGATTGTAAATGCAGAGTAATTCCAATGAAATGCAAGATCAAGATGATACTTGTCATCTTACCCCTCTGGTTCTTATCTTTGAAGCGATGCTACTTACCTATGCATAAATAAGTCTACATAAAAGTTTAAAGGATTTGGATATATGTAACTGAAATGAACACAATATTAAAGCTGAATTTTATGACAGTAAGGTTAGTATGATACCAATAATTCTGAACTCAGTTGATGTTTCCTTATTTAAGAATAGAGCACATAAGTACGAACATGGCAGATGCATTAGAAATTAATAAAAGTGATCCACATTAATCTCTGGTGGCATACTGAAGTAATCTGGAGCTTCAGTAAGAATGAACTTGAGTCAATACTTTACCTTAGTTGTCCTAACAGCTGTTCTTTTCCCGATACCGCATCATTAACACCTTGAAGAGGTGTGGTTTGTCAGACACAAAGATTTTTTTTGTCTGCTTTTATTTCTGAAGAAATTAAAAATGATGTTG